TTAGTTAATTGAAAAACAACTTAATTAATCAGTAAAAACAAAAGGGATTTAAGCTTGAAATTGAGAAGAAAATTAATGAAACTAGTAAGGAAAAACTTCTCAATTTGATTCCTTGCCTAGTCAAAATTTAAAATTTAACTATATATATATATATATATCTCAACGGAAAATGTTTAGTACAGCAGGGTAAATTATTTCATACATGTTCAGTTAACAAAATTGATTACCCCATCGAATAATTAATCTAATGGTTCAAGTTTATCGCTCGTTATTAATGCTACAGGTTCTCCTCTTCATTTTCGTTTTATTTCTTCCCAACTAGAGAGAAGCACATTGTCTTATATAACAAGAACAAAAAGCATGATCTTAAAGATCCATAAACAGAGCAATCCTCTGACAGTCCACCCAAATCCAGCGGTTCGTGCTCTCGATCTTCGTTTTCAAGCCCGTGCCCTGTGCCTGAACATGAAATCAGGTGGGCGGTCTTCCCGGAGATTGAAAACACATATTTATCCTTTGCTTATGATTTAGCCAAAAACGCAATAAATTTTACAAGAAGCAATGAATCTCCAACGATTATCGTCATGTGTCGCAAGGACAACAATTAAATTGACTAGTCAATACCATGAATCTCTCCCTTGTTTTTCTACCATATCAGGATGCACCAAATCCCCCTTGTTTATCCACAATTTTAATTTTGTTCACACACATTCATGCACTTTCATGGTCACCAATACACTGAATCATTTATCCCTTTCCTTAGCTCACTCTTTTCTCATTGCCAAATTCACCCGTCCTAGCATGCTCGCGCTCGCACGTGGGTCTTCCCCTCTCTGCCCACCTACCGTTTAACTGGAGGCTGCCTATCCAAGAGAGCGCTAAGAAGCAAGAGATTTATAAAAACTCGGCCGATCCCAATAAGATAGATCCCAGGGACCAAGATTTTTATTTTTATTTTTATTTTTATTTTCGCTCGGTCGCCTGGGTGTATGGATAGCTACACTAACACCACAGTCCAAAACAAGTGTCGTAAGCAGTGACCAAATCACCCCCACTGTGAGCCATTGACACGCACGCATCCCCACTTCGTTACCTGCCACGTCTCACGCCAGAGTGGAAAAGAAAGAAAAAACTGATCACTCACGTGTATTCTAGAAATCATCCCTGCCACGTGCCCCTCAATTTCTCTTATAAATTCATGCTTCTCCCTCGAAATTTGAAGTTTCAAGCGCCGTCACTGCATTAGACCACCAACAGCAGACAAGAAGAGCGACCAAGTAGAATAGAGAAGGAAGGGCAAAAAGGTCAGCCAAAAAATGACGGCGGCAACATTTGAGTTACCACCGGGTTTCAGGTTCCATCCAACGGATGAGGAGCTCGTTCTGCACTATCTCTGCCGTAAATGCTCGTCGCAGCCCATTGCTGTGCCTATTATTGCTGAAATTGATCTCTACAAGTTTGACCCATGGGATCTCCCCGGTAATCAGCCCGTTTGCTTTAATTTTTCTTTCTATTTCCTAATTTCTCCAAAAACTAGTTTTTCATTTTCTTGTTCTGTTAACTGTTTCGTCAAATTACAGGTATAGCCTTGTATGGAGAAAAGGAATGGTACTTTTTTACCCCGAGAGACAGGAAGTACCCTAACGGATCGAGACCGAATCGTGCTGCAGGGAGGGGCTACTGGAAAGCCACGGGAGCCGACAAGCCGATTGGGCAGCCGAAGACAGTTGGAATCAAGAAAGCTTTGGTCTTTTACGCGGGGAAAGCTCCTAAGGGAGAGAAAACCAACTGGATTATGCACGAGTATCGTCTAGCAGACGTGGATCGCTCGGCTCGCAAGAAGAACAGCTTAAGGGTACGGTCTGTCATCTCGGCCATCCGTAGGGATAGTTTAGGCATTTAATGGTTGAAGATGCTTGCGACTATGGACGTCGAGGTTGAAATGACTTTTTTGGCCTTTTCATTACGATATTTGGATTTAAAACAATTATTAACATAATCACATGCTTTTTGAATGATGCTCTGATGAATCCCTAAAATCAAGTAGACGTGATCCATCTAATCAAAATCGCAAAAATTGTGTTTTTAAATCTAGTTGACTGAAGTTAAAGAAACAAGTTTGTCAATAGTGACTGACCGTAATTGTTGCTAGCTGTCACTCTAGCAAATTGAAGCCCATCGTTTTTATTTCTTTCCAGTTAATGATAATATTCCTTCTTATCTCTGGAAAATACTTCTACTTGCTCCGACTTAGATTATCATTTAACTACAATAACAACCTTGATTGTTTGCAGCTGGATGATTGGGTACTCTGTCGCATATACAACAAGAAAGGTACAGTTGAGAAGCAAGAACAGCATCTTAGCGTCAAGAAAGCGAATCCGACGGAGATTGAGGAGGATGAGAAGAAGCAGGTTGTTTTGCTGCCGCCGCAACCAGCTCCGTCCTCGGCGACAGGAACGGTGAATGATTACATGCACTTTGACACGTCAGACTCCGTGCCGAGGCTGCACACGGATTCGAGCTGCTCGGAGCATGTGGTGTCGCCGGAATTCACGTGCGAGGTGCAGAGTGAACCTAGGTGGAAGGAATGGGGAAACGTAAATGCCCTCGATAATCCTTACAGTTACCTGGATGCCACAATGGATATTCCATTTGCGTCTCAGTTGCAGGGGGTTAATCAGATGTCGCCTCTTCAGGATATATTTATGCACCTGCAGAAGCCGTTTTGATGTCAAAATGGGAATTAATTGTGTTAAGAGCAAATCGCACGGTAACACGAGACTGAAGTCTGTGAGTGTGCGTGTGCGAGTGCTAGTGTTACGTAGTAATTGGAGTAAGTAGGGTGATCAGACGGTCCCTGATTTATTTAGATTTTGGGGGTGTGTATAGGGCAGTAGTACTGGTAGTTTTCTTGTTGCTGTTGCTGTTGTCGTTGCGGTTGTTATTGGATTCATATTTCGGAATAGCAGACTTGCCTTTCTGGAAACCTATTGTAGTAATTAAAATTAATATGAATATGTCCAATTTGTGTGCTGTTTTAATTATTTTGAGAGAATAGCCTTTAATAGCTATTTATGTATCTATTAGACTCAGTTCAGTAACGTATTGAGAGGCATTCGGACACTTTCAGTTTTGCACTCGTGTGTGATTGAATTTTTACCGGTTCAAAACCATTAAAAACTTGTGCTTTGTCTGTCGATTATATTGGATAATCCATAGTTGTTGACGTTAGTTACACTGAACCATTGGATGTGTGCTGGAGAAACGATCCACCCATTTTGTGTGCGCTTGTGGTGGGATAAAAAGGGCACGTTTCCTAGATGAACGCAGAGATTTTTTTCCAAGGGGCAGTCGACTCCTTGACTGTACTATATCATCCCGTTTTTAAAGCATGGAACGTGAGGGCCGCCCACATGGGCGGCTGGTGGGGAGAAATTACTAGAGGGTGTTTAGGCAAAATATATAATTTTATGTTTAAAAATACCACCTCTTTTGCCTTGTAGAAGTTCTATACCGTTTTAGATTTCCCTTTGTTTAACAAATTCGAGCTACAAAAACTAAACGTTCAAAAAATATGCGGATAATGGATCATTTGGTGGACGCAATCTCTCCTGTAATAAATTATCAGGTATTTTCTGATAGTTCTGGTATAATTCACATAAATACGGAACTTAAAAGGTCGTTGTCATTATCCACCATGTGACCGCCTGTAAAGTCGATGGTGGGATGGCGAAATGGATGGTCTTCGGTGTTAGGACAGCTGTATTGATAGACGGACGGATTGGGCGTCTCATGGGCCGATTTTATATGACTATACCATTGTACCTCACTGTATTTACTCGAGCCCAACAGCTCTAGTGCTCTTTTGCGTGGCCTTGAAAGAGCTGAGAAATTAAGATCTCGGCTCGATTTCAGGATGCCACTACCTTCTTAAACAATTCCGAGGGCATAGGGGCAGGTAGAACTGATTTTATCTCCATATGAGATCGATGTCCTGGGGAAAAACAAGACGTACGGTGGCCTTTTTAAGCATCCCCACTGTATGCAGCAGAGATATATTTTCTTTCTGAAAGCCGAAATTTGAGTTAATTAAGGACAGACGAGAAAGACGAGAGGAGGAGGAGTGGATTGTCAGCAATAAGATTTGGCCCAGGATGATCGTTGTGTTCTTCAGTTCTAATAATCTCATTTTGTCCGTGGATAGGATGCATGGAAGAACGAATTCTATCCCAGTATAAATGCTCTCTTTGTCATCTCCCTGTGCTGCTGCGCCAATGTGCTTCGTACAACAAATCAAAAACAATCACAGAAGAGAAAAGTCAACATTCTAGTCCACAGAAATGTCAATGCGCTCACGATAGAAAGATCTTAAAACCATAACCACCCCTCAAGAATTTCACAGCGCACTACTTAAAAAAGGCTATTGCAGCTTCAATAAAGCTTGGAGAAGCTCTTAAATGAAATAAATTTCCGATTTATCTAATGTTATTGTCATTGATAACAAGTATCCTATTATTTAATCTCGTGTTTACTTTGAAAAAAAAAACAAATATAAAAAGAAGATAAAAAATAAAATGTTAAGAAATTAATAAAAACTAATTTCCATCATCATTATTAACATTTGAATAACCACCATAATTCAAAATTGAAAAAGTAATGATTCTTTAAAATTAATTTTTTATTTACTCATAATCTATTTAAATCATGATAATTAAAATAAATTGCACCTCGTTTCTACCGTGTTTATTCTAAGAATACTAAAAAAAAAAAACTTTTGTTTTCTCTCAAACCATTTCATTTCAGGAGGTTAACAATCTTTTTTTTTTTTATGAAAACAATATATTCCATGAAATGATTTTTTTAAAATGAATTTTTATAATTTTAAAATAAAAACAGGAAGCATTTTTATTTTTAAGAGCATGGACAACCAATCAGAGCTCATCATTGGGGGGGCACATCATTCAGGGGGCTCATGGGGGGGGTGAGGCGCCGTCATGCTGTCAGTAACGGTGTTAAGATTAAAATCAAATCCCAAAATTAGGAAAAACAGAACGACACCCTCTCTACGGAGGGGAAAGAAAAAGAAACGAGAAGACCCTGACTCCTCTCTCTCTCGACTTCCGTTGACGGTTTCTTCTTCTCTCACACTTTCAACTTTCCAGGTACCGTACCGTGTTTTTCTTTTCTGGTACCAATTCGCAGTTGTTTATATATTGATACAATTTCGTAGATACTAAAATAATAAATGTATATAGCGAGTGATGAGAGACGTGATAATGACGTTTCTCTTGTCCTCGATTCTGTGACATGAACTTCTGATCCGATCTCCGTACACCGCTTTTCTATCTGTACTATCATGATTAATATTTTTTTAATGAAATTGAGACGTGACATCTGTACAGAGAATTAGCTCGTACTGTAACCCAAGGAGCTTGCATTGATGCTTATAATTCAAGATTTCGGATTGGATTGTGATGATCGGGGTAAGAAGGCTTGTTTTTCGATAGCAAGAAGTGAGTGAGGGAGTGACTCTGGCATCTGCATTGTTGGCGTGGCGAGCGAGGTGAGCTGTTTTGTTTGATTTCAAGCATTTTGATTGTGGTTTGCCAATTCCAAGTGTTTTTTCATGGAAAGATTTATTGTCATTCATGCGTGTATTTGTGCACATAATTTATACCGGTGTGGTTATTGGAGAGCTGAGGATGCATAAATCTGTAGAAGTTGGAAAATAACGGTAGGTATTGGTTTTCTAGTTAAAAAATGAACTATAGGAACGAGTCTAATTGGGATTTTGTGATTTTCTTGAGAAATTTTGGTTGTTATTATTATTTATTTATTTTGCGCAGGGGGTATTTACTCTGGGTGATATTCAGAACTGGGGTTGTTTTCTTGTTATAATTTTGGGGATTTTAGCTCAAAGGAGTTACTGATTGGTGTGCCTATTATAAATGAATTTGCAGAAGTTTATTAGTTGAGATACTGGTTCCACTTATTGCAGGTGGCCTAGAAGAAAGCTGAAGTGACGTGCTGGTGCAAATGTCAAAGTTTCCCTCCTCCAAACCAGAAGAATATGCATCCTCATCTGCTTCTGAGACTAAGTTAGTATCCTTCTCTCAAGTTAAGTTAGCTCATAAACTCTACATCACTCTGCTAATATTTTAGCCACGGGTTAACTTTCTATTCCCTTCCTGCTATGAGAAACACATTGCCATAACTGTGTTGATACTGAGCCAAAAAGAAAGGCAAGTGAGATGAAGTTCAAAACAATCTAATTTAAAGAATATATCATTGTGTTAACTGCTCTAACCTGTAGTTCTTGAGAATTAAATACTAATTAATTATGTGCTAATGGATTGGCTGATTACATGTAGGGAATCAGATGGAGCACCCGAAATGGATGGCCCTGAAGATACAATTGCTGCAGTTGCTCGATTCTTTGAAAAGCTGCATTCCAGGATAACTTCACAACCTGAAAAGGAACTTGTAACAGCTTGCCTGCTTCGCCTTGCCAAAGCAAGAAAGGAGACAAGGACAGTCATTGGTTCTCATGCCCAAGCAATGCCATTATTCATATGCCTTCTCAGGAGTGGTACTTCTGAAGCAAAAGTTAATGTTGCTGCGACTCTCAGTGCTGTGCAAAGATGATGGTTTACGAGTGAAGGTACTTCTTGGTGGGTGCATACCACCTTTACTTTCACTTCTGAAGTTAAATCAGTTGAGGCTAGGAAGGTTGCAGCAGAAACTATATATGAAGTGTCCTCTGCCTCGGTCTCTGATGATCAAGTCAGTATCAAGATTTGCCACAGGTGTGACACCGACCTTATGGGAACAGCTTAATCCAAAGAACAAGCAGGACAAAGTGGTTCGAGGGTTTGTTACTGGGGCACTGAGAAATCTTTGCAGGCACAAGGATAATTATTGGAGAGCAACGCTTGAGGCTGGAGGAGTGGATATCATCGTGGGTCTTCTCTCTTCTGACAATGCCGCTGCCAAGTCCAATGCAGCTTCTCTATTTTGCCCGTCTAATGTTGGCATTTGGTGATAGTATAACAAAAGTAATTGATTCTGGAGCTGTGCAAGCTTTGCTTCAGCTTGTGGATCAGAATAATGATTTTCTGTTCGTGCTAGTGCTGCTGATGCTTTGGAAGCTCTTTCCTTAAACTCCACAAAGGCCAAGAAAGCTATTGTAGATGCCGGTGGTGTTCCCATTCTCGCTGGTGCCATAGTTGCTCCTTCTAAAGAGTGTATGCACGGGGAGTTTGGCCAGGCTCTGCAGGGGCTTGCGACATGAGCTCTAGCAAATATCTGTGGCGGGATATCTGCCTTGTTATTATATCTTGGAGAACTATCACAGCCTCCTCTTCTTGCTGCTCCATTTGTTGATATCACCGGATCACTTGCCGATGCTTTGATGGTCTTTGAGCAAAATGCTGGTGCTGATGAGGAAAGTTTTGATGCAACCAAAATAGAGGATTTACCAGGAAAGCTTCAGGAGCCACATTAATAAGCTCTTTCAGGAACGTGTCCTTGAGGATATGGCAAGCCTGCGTGGCAATATCTACCTCTCAAGATGTCTTGATCATGCAGAAGCAAAGAAGGTCCTTGTTAGGCTCGTAACAATGGCTGCTGGGGATCCACAGGAGTGTCTAATACTTACTTTGACCGGCCTATGCTGTGACAGGGTAGGCATCTGGGATGCCTTTGGCAAGAGAGAAGGATTCAGTTGCTAATATCATTACTGGGATTATCCAGTGAGCGGCATCAAGAATATGGTGTTCGTTTTCTGGTAATCTCAATTGATCAGGTTGATGACAGTAAGTGGGCTATCACTGCTGCTGGTGGGATTCCTCATCTTGTGCAGCTGTTAGAGACAGGGCCTCAGAAGGCAAGGGAGGATGCAGCACATATTCTCTGGAATCTGTGCTGTCATAGTGAATATATCTGTGACTCTGTTGAAAGTGCTGGAGCCAGCAACAACATGCTGCGCAGCTCGTTCCAATTACAAGGTGAGAAAGGGCTTTGGTCACTGAGCTTCTCATCAGCCAACCACTTTTTTATTTTAATAATATTTTATATTTAATAAAAAATCAAATTATTCTCAACCAACTTAATCATAATTAAAAAAGACAAAAAAACACATTGAAAAGACAAAAAAAACTCATGATGCAAGCTAAGAGCATTTTATTGTTCTTAAAAAAAAGTTTAAAAACTAAGAAGTCTCTAGACACAAGTTTTAGATATTTTTCTTTTAAAAATAATTTAATAATTTTATTTTGCTTTCAAAAATGAAAAATACAATTCTACCCAAAATTGTTGATAATGATCGTTAAAAGAACATAAAAATAATTTGGACGCCGAAGTTTTTGTTTGTTTAAAAAGGTTAGATAATAATGAATAGTGAAATGTATATAAATGTACAATGAGTATCCCTTCAGTTTTAGCTTTATTGTAATAATTAAATGTTTATATACTTCCACCTTTACTTTCATAGAAGTAAAAGCCGGCAAACAAAGACAGGCTTTCACCTAGTCTGGCACAATTGTCATTCCTATCAATCACCTAACAGCCATGATAAACTCTAAACATCCGGCTGTATCAAGACTTCGAAAAAATATGCAGAAAGGAAGGCTTAAAAATGTCTCTGCGTCGTCACAGATGAGGGGAGCGAAAAGTAAGCTTCGATTTGGTTGCGGACCTTGTGGCCACGGTATTTCAGTGTCGCCATTTGAGGAAAAAGAAAAGGTGGCAGTCCATGTCTTGAACCATGCTAACCCCTAACAACGCCTAGTAATTTTACTTTTATGTAGAAAATTATAGATTAAAGAAAATGAATACTAAACTTCATACACATTTTCTCTGACGTCATGGCCCAGAACGAGATCAGAAAATCAAATGAGATTAAGGGCAAGAGAGAGGAAGGCGAAACGTTAATTTGGAAAGGAGGTATTGTAAATTCTGATATTGTTATTTTATAATTATTAATCCGAGTGAGTTTTTTAAGAGATCAGTTAAGAGTTTGCAGTATACCAGAAGCTAATCTCCAAGACTATCTGCCCTTTGAACAGGCAGTACCACATGCATCATCCTTTGTCAGTTTCGTCCAAGAATTTTCATGCAGCGGAATGTCCACAGCATCTTGGCTTGATTATCCTTCTCGTGCTTTCACATCTTGCTTCACGTTTTATGCTCCTTACGGTGTGAGAAGAGAAAGGCACTCAACAGATGATGGGGGGCACTGGAACTGTGGCAGACATCCTTACAAGCTAAAAAATATGATAATCAAACAAGCTAAGCTGCAAAGATGCAGGCATTTTAACTTGCTAGTAGCTCAAAAATTTACATTCTTACATATCCATAACTTGAGGACTGCATAAGCAAGGATTCAAGACTGCATAAGCAAGGATTCAATGTCTCTGAGCGGAATTCAGAAGAAATACCATAGGGCAAACAGAAGTAGCATCAAACTAATTTGCGGCTGCAACCAATGCAGATCGAGCCCTAGTAAAAGAAGCAATAAGTGATCCAAGTTGCAGCTTATCATTGCACCCAAAGCTCAACCTGTATCTGCAAGATTATACCAAGAGATTAAAGCAAAAATATAACTATGTTCATTTTATTTTATTTTTATTGGGCAGCTTCCTGATGTAAATGCATATGCATGTCAGTCTGCAATGGTTTGATGCACAATCTGGCGCTCACCCTTGCTACAAAACAAGGATGCCAAGCCATGCATCGATCCACATATAAAAGAAAAAACGCATTGGAATAAGAGAAAATTGTGTACATACTCTATATCAGCCAAATCATTGATCAATGGCACTCGGATATCTGATTGCATCTTAATCTTGAAAACAAACCTGCTGGCATAATACAGTGAGATGATATCGACCAATAATAATCAGAGTGATACCTAAATTATGCATAGCACTTACATGGTCACTTCTCTTACAATATCAACCAAGGCCAAACCTTTCCTTGTCTTAATTTCAGAAATTCCTGCGGAGCATAAGTACAGAAAAATGAAAAATAGAAAATCAATCATAATTTGCAAATTACAACAAAAAATCAAATCATAAATCGAAATTATACATACGTTTATAGCTCTCTACAAAAGATTCATTCAGAAGCCAGTGGGTTATTTGCTGCACATCTTGGGGCAATGGGTTTCCAGTGCACAGGTATACAGTTTCTTCTGTAATTTGTTGAGAAGCCATGTGAGTCGACTGCATGCATCAGGAAAAAAACATCAACAATTTCATTTTGGATTCGTTAACACAAAACAATCGACAGAAATTTGGGACCAAACAGAGGCATGCCAGAGGGACTGGGCCCCAGCCCTTGGCCTTGGTAAGAATTATAAAAGGCTTTCAGTTTTCCCTTTGCCTTTTGGGTTGGATTTCTTTTCCTGCATGATTACAGTAAAGCATGCATGCACACACTCAGAGCAAATAAAGCATCCATGTGTTCATATTTTGCATTTCTACGATATTCTAGAAACAAACTTGACAGTAATAATGAAAAATCCCAATGGTCAGGTTCAATTAAAGGATAATACAATGGCAGATAACATATATACAAACTGACGATCATTTGCCACATTAGTCCCATGTCCACAGTAAACTAGGAACAGCCAGCACTTCTTAAAACTGTAACATCAACAGAAGAATGTTCTTAATTCTCTGATCCATGTATCAGAAATGTAAAAACATAGCCACACCATCACCTAACCATGGAGACACATTGATGCAGAGACATGAAGGGATAAAAAGAATAGGTAATTTTAGTACCTGCAGTATATTCAAAGCCTTTCTCATGTCACCATTGCTAAGACATTTAAGCGCCTCTAGGCCACTCTCTGGTACATCAAGCCTGATCCAGGAGCATTTCGTTAAATGTACTGCTGCATTAAGTCTAATGCATTGCATGACTCAAAAACCTATTATTCATTCCCAGTTTCCTTCAAATTTCAGAGTACAAAGTAAAAAAAAAAACCACAAAGAGAAAGCAGTTCTTACAAGAAAGCCAGAGTTCTCATTTCCTCTGTGAGCATAAAACACTTACCATATCATTCATTGACCCCTAAAATCAAGGCAAACGACTCTAAAAGGCAACCCCAGTTTTTACCTTCACACAAGCAAGCCTTCAAATTTTTCATTTTAAAGTCCAAGTATAATTTCAAGCTTGAAGAAGCTATATATGTTCAACTGTAAGAAAAGTAAGATACAAACCCCTGTCTGAAATGATTTACAGACTACGTAAGAGCTTTGTCTAAAAGCGGTGAGAAATGCTAGTAAGAAAATAACAATACAGAAGTGAGAATCTAAAATAAATCTAGGTTACGACCTACAAAAATGGGAACAAAAAAAGAAGCGATAGAAACAGATATCCGTGACAACAAGGAATATCATGCTCACCCTTCAGCCTCTATGACATGTTTAAGTCGTTCACCAACATGCATTGGATCAAGAGGAGCAAATCGAAATCGAGTACATCGAGACTGTAGTGCTGGGATAATCTTGTTCACATGATTGCAGATAAGTGCAAACCTGGTGTTCTTCGTATATTTCTCAATCACTGCGCAAAAAAGGATAAAAAAGTCAGTGGAAGGAAATTAACTTAAAGCTGAGAAAGAATGGAGAGCACGATCACCTCATACCTCTACGCAAGGCAAATTGAGCATCCTTTGTCATTGCATCTGCCTCGTCAAGTAAAACCAACTTTACAGATGTCTTTGCGCTGTAAACATAAAATTCCTTAGTGATCAGCTCCAATAATAAGTTGTCATTGAGCCATGCTTTTCAAGCTGATCTACCTCGCAAATTTTGAATTACAAAAAGAAAAAATGATTGCAGCCACGCTAAAACACCAAGCACACAATTGCAAGCATATAGAGTAACATAGCAATGACAAAAAGAGGCTGGAAATATAAAAAGCATCATAATCATGTGCATTTAGTCAAATATTACCCAAAAGAGAAGCTCTGAGTGCTAGCGAAATCTTGTATTTGCTTCCGCACAACGTCAATTCCTCTATCATCTGATGCATTCAACTCCAAAATCATATTGTGGTACTGCGCTCCGTAAAGTTTACGCGCCACAGCAAGAATTGTTGACGTTTTGCCCGTGCCAGGAGGGCCATATAACAAGAGATGCGGCAATCTGTTTTCACTGGTCAGCCTATCAACTATTCACAAGGACAGAAAAATCACAGGTTATTAGAAACATCTTGCAAAATAAAAATCAACACTCGCACCAGTACCAATTTCATAATTATAAGCTAACACATAGAACTGACCCTAGACCCTGAACCCTAGATGAAGAGTTATGAATTAGTGAATTTAGAGCTGAAGCCCTGATTTTAGAATCCAATTAGCTTTAAAAAAAAGGCACGCGTCTAAATAACCGAAACCCTGGATAGAGAGAGGAGGTAATAACTGGTATCGATAATGTCACGGTGAGCGGCGACATCGGCTAGTGATTGAGGACGGTACTTCTCAACCCAGGGAGTAGCTTTACCGCCGGGTGGTGTGGCGGGTACGACGACGTTTTTGCCTTTGTTTGGTTTCGATAAGTGGTTCTGGTTCTCCTCTTCGTCAATGTCCATGAGTGCGATCGCCTCCGCCATGTCGCTTGCTCTCTATCTCGGTTTGTGCCGCTCGCTCTGTGTACTGACTACTGAGGGGGGAGAGGGAAGCACTTCTTTTTTCACTTTCTCTGTGAAAATGCGAGGGATAGCGCCAGGCAGCTTTTGGGTCTTCTTTTCTTCTTTTTTTCAAAATTTTTTTTAATTTTTTTAATATCATTGTTTTAAAACAATCTAAAAACAAATAATTAAAATTTAAAATTTAAAATTTATATAAAATTATAATTACACCATTATCTGAAACACGTTTGGAGTATTTATTGGTAATCACTACAATTGAGCAGCATTTTTAAAAAATATTTTTTTTTTCATTTGAATTATTTTAAAATGTTGGGATCATAAATGAATTAAAAAATATATTTTTATATATTTTCAAATAAAAAAATTTAAAAAAAAAATTTCACCATCTTAAACACCTTGGGTTAAGAATTTTAAAAATAGTTTTTTATTTAAAAAATATTTTAAATTTTTTAAAAAAAATATTTTTGATATCAATAAATTAAAATTTAAAATAAAACACCAACAATCAATTACTAAAAATACTAAAAAATATATGATTTTTTTAGTTAAAAAAAACTTATAAAAAACACCCAGTAACATAAATACTCCCAAACATATCTTAAATTCAATATAAATTGGTTGATATTTTTGATATAGGTAAGGCGTAAATATTATTAAATCTTGGCTTAAAACATGCTGAAGCTAATTTAAAATATACTTATATTATATGTGGTTATGTTTATTTTAAATTATTTTTTTAATATAATTTTATAGTTTTATTATTTAATAGATATATAGAGAGACATGTATATATTAATTATTTTATTTTTTTATTAAATAATAAATAATAATTATATAATGCATACTCATGTTAATATCAAATGAATAATTTATAAATATCTAAAAAAAAATTACTTATAAACAACAACACGTATTGTATACGTGTTATAAAATTTGAGTTGTAGAAACTCATTTCCATCCTTGTGTCCTGATCCGGTGTCTTGAGTTTGAGCCAGTGTAGTGGATAGCCCAGACTTCAGGAAATTGGACCCGGTTGGATCTTGGAACTGGGCCCTTTCTTACATGATTACAGACAGGGCCCCTTTCCAGGCTGAAATGGGTCTGGCCTTTTAATTCTTTTGTTGCGATCTTTTTTATTTTTTGATCAAAAAATTATATCAAACACGGTGGTTGCATTTATTCAGAGCCTGTAATTTGTTTACGTGGAATCACAGCTAATAATTATTTGATAAAGGAAAAAATACAGTTTATTATTTACGAGGCTCAGTGCATTTCACGTTTAAAATACCGGTAAATTCAAAGTAGTTCTGAGATGCTTTTTTATTACGTGCAGAGTGAATTCACTTTACTTTATACTTGTTTTAAAAAAGTGAATAGTATAGTGTTTCTTATTATTTAATATATTATATAAATTAAAAAAATTATATGATAGCATAATATTTATAAAATTTTATTATAATTTTAATTTTATTCTTGATGATATTTTATCTAATTTTATTATATATTTAAAAAACATGTAAATTATAAGTTTTGTCAGATAAATTTTATAGTAGATAGTTTAATGTAATAATAAAAAATATTTTACATAAAGTATTATTTATTTCATGATATAATGGTAGTAGTTAAATTTATAATATTTAAATTTAAAATTATTAATATTAATATATATATTTTTTAGTTGTTTTATAGTCTCAATTTAAAAAATATTCTCAACTAAGCACATTAAAAAAATTTGTTCAGCTTTAATTTTAACCATAGTTTTAACAAAATATATATAATTATCAAATTAATTTCAATTAAAAATAATTTTTTTAAAATAATTTTTTAAAATAATAATTACAAAAATTATCACAATATCAAATACACTATGCCTAGTTAAATTGAAAAATTACATGCACTTACACGTGTCTCGTGATTCCATGACAAAGGAAGCAAAGCTCCCATTTTTAAAAAAAATTAAAAAGGTAGCAAAGCTCGGTGATTATCAGATCATTCTCTTGAAATTAATTTATGATAATATTGTGCTTGCGCTGTGAATTCCTAGAGAATAATCACAAATCGTTTTCTATCCAGCCGTTATTTTCCTAGACATGAAACAGTACAGGACACTTGTCTTATTTGTGAAATTTTGTAGCTATGGGGATTAGAATTTAATGACTGAAAAATAAAATAAACAAGGCATCAAAAACTAATGGAGAAATATAAATCCTCATATTATGCTCTGTTTGTTTCGTGAATATTAGATCAAACCCTCTTATCTTTCTTCTCAGAGCTTTTCATGGTAAATTTGCCGTTGCATCTTGCATGTATATAAAAAAATTCAGAACTGGAAATCAATGAATAAATATGACACTGATAATTAAAGAATTTTTTAATAAAAAAGGAGAACTCGGCTGGACCAAGGTGCAACCCGGCTCGCCCTCTTTTTTTCATTTCTCCCTCCTTTTCTTTTAATTTATTTTTATTATTACAAGCTAAGAGTGTATTGCAACTTTACATTAAAATATATCAGAGAAACAGGGTTGACTTCTTGCAAAATTAAGAGATTTTTTTTTACGTGTTGTATAGATTTTTTCATGTTTTTTAGATATAAAATATCAGGTTTTGTTGAGAGAAAGAAGACCTTTTCTCACTCGTTTACTGTCTTTACCTTATCTTCATCCCAAGATTTTAAATGGATTTTGGCATAGTAAAGTTTTTTATGTTTTTGCTGGCATAACTCCCATTCGAACAAATATCATCAGCAAAGAAATATCAATTTCAGTGAAGATTGTTTCATGCGTCATCAGATATGAATATAGTGTTTCTTAAAAAATTTAATTTTTCTATAAAAGATAATTTTTTTCATGTTTTTGATTATTTTAATGTACTGATTTTAAAAATAATTTTTAAAATTAAAAAAATCATTTTAATATATTTTAATATAAATATATTTTAAAAAATTAATTACAATTATACCTCCAAAAATAAACATGTTATGATCTTTTTAATCATTGATTTCTTCCAAATACAGTCATGAAGATAGTAATTTGAAAAGATGACACGTGGTTTTTTTTTTATCAAACTAGCATTTGTTGGGTGAAGATAAAACTTATTTTCCTTTGCTTTTTTTTTTTTTCAATGCATGTAGGTGTGATTATTATAGTTTGATGCGTAGTATTCTTATTCACTGTCCAGCGTAAAAATTAGTAAGATAATAACCTGCATGCAAATGCTACGCTGCGAAGTTTTCTAATCACAAAAAAAAAAAATACTTATCATGCTTTTAAATAAGCTCTTACAAAGTCTAGTTTTTAAAAAAATTTAAACGAAAATGAATTTTTTTTGTCTTCACTTTGTATCGAGGGATGCAATTCTTCTCCACTGGCTTAAAATAAAATCAAACATAATATTTTATTATTTAATATACTTATATATTTATACATGTGCCTGTATGTAGAATTCATGATAGTATTTGTCAATGTTTTATAATAATTGAAACATTCACTAACATCCTGGTATTTCCATAAAATATACATTTCAGTTTCTTATTCGTATAAACATTGAATCGTCTGACTTTTTTTAAAGAAAACTTCTTCCTCATTTCAATCAAACCCTTTTATAGCATGATTAGATGAAATTATGCTAAAAATACAACATTTAAATGTACAGGGCTATAGTATAGAGCCCGACGAAAATATGTGACACTCTACATTAATGATAATTTTTATTTTAATATAAAAGTTTATTTTTTAAATTTCACAGTCCTTAAGCTTGGAAAAAATAAAGCAAAACTCGTCTAAAAATATAATTAAGAGAGATAAGCTAGTTAATACCAATTACAACTATATTACAACTATAAAGAATATTAATCTTAGTATCGAATAGTTTTTTACATGACAAGTAAAGTTATTTTATGGTTAGTTACTTGTCTGAAAGTTTTTATTGATTTGATTTGATTTTTAATTTTTTAAATAAATTTATGTAAGTTTTTAAAGGTTTTTTTTTTAAATTTTCAGGTAAAAAAATGATTACAAATAGATTTTTCAGTAAAAAAAAATCATATCCTCTGATGTTTTTCAACCACCCTGGGTGGTGTCTTGCTTCTAAGAAGCAAACAACGAGTATTTTATCACAACGGACAACCTACCTAAAACAAGAAAGGATAAAAATAAAAAATAAACAGACAAAGATTAGGAGTTGCAGGACTGTGATAGGAGGTCTACATGCTCGGGGAGGTCCATGTGTGCGGGGCCATTTGGGGCCTGACTTCTATTGTTTTATTTATTTTTTATTTAAGTTATGATTTAGATTTAAATACACAGTAAAAAAAATATTATTCAATTTTTTCATATTTTGCCAATGATACTACAGATTTCCATGGGAATTTTATCTCTTTCCTTTTTAATTAATACGTGGCCACATGAAAAAAAACCCTGTGGAAATTTAATTAACATGAAATTTAAGTTTTTAATATTTTTAATGCATTTTTATATATATTTTTATCATGTTCATCTGTATATTTTTCTTTAACTATATACAAAATATTGTGACTTTTTTTAAATATTTTATTTTAAATTTTCTTCTAGGATCATAATGAATTTTTATTTAAGAAATTTGTATGGCATGGACATTCTTTTCTAGGTTAAAAGAAATTAACCTAGTATCTCACCTAAATCAAAGACGTAGTACTTTCTTGGAGAGTTTCTAAAAGCAGTGAAACCTTGGCCTCTCTGCCCGCATCATCCATTTGGCACAATAAAAAAAATTATTAATTCAAATACATTGATATTAATAAAGAAACTAAAACATGGCGAATATTTTATGTAGAGCTGTCATTTTTATAATTTTTTAATCATTCCTGGTCTTTTCCTTTGCTTTTTCTCCCAGGCACCTATCAATTTTCTCTTTGTCTCGTTCGTGTCGTTACTATAGAATCCTAAACTCTTGGTCCTTTTTTCTTTCTCTCTCTTTTTTTTTACAGTTGTTGCACAATTGTTCGTTGTTTTCTTCTCAAACTCTCTTCATCTTACAGGTGGACACGTGTTAAAGACTTGATGACTTATAGTTTAGAATGAGATTTTATTAATATTTTTTAATTAATTTTATATAAAGGAATTTATAATTCTTGACTGAATTGTTAAAAAAAATTTAAAATTTATATGAAGATTTTTAATATGATGCGTTAACTTGTGCTAAAATTTTAAAATATTTTAAAAAAATTAAAAATTTGATGAAAAATTATAATTTGACTAGTTTTATATTATTAGGTATAATTTTTAATACAAATTGAGCTAAAATTTTACTAGTAATTTTAAAATATATTAAAAAATTATTTAAAATTTTAGTAAGTGCTAATAAAAAAACTGTTAAATAAAAATAAAAATAAAACAATCTATATTTTTTTTATTAATTTACCACTAAATAAACTTTAGAATGAATATGGTTGGGATTTTCTCTGTTGTTATAACTGTTTTTTAAAGAACGGCTACTGGCCCATGTTCCTTTTTTATCAATGTCAGGCTACTTTGCCACCGTATTTTTTCATTTTTATCACTTCTCCCCCCCGTACCGACTGATACAGGTTGATGTTTGTGTTTCTTTCTTTTCTCTCCCTCTCATTCCTAGCTTTCCTTTCAATGCCATAAACACGTCCTCTCTTTGTTTGTTTTTTTTAACACTTTTTTTAGTTTTTATTAGATGATATTGACTGGTTTTGTGTTTATTTTTTCAGATATGGATGGTTCGTTCTATTAGTGATGAGTGGAGACAGGATGAGAGGTGGGCATGATGAGTTTAGAGGGTATTTTAGAGCGGGTTATTTTTAAAGTATTTTTTAAAAAATATATTAAAAAATATTTTGAGATCCTTCAATATTAGATGACTTTCAATTATTTATTTCAGATATTAAATGCTTCTCGTTGCACTGTTTTCAGCTACGTGAAAAATCAATGTGAGTATAACTATAGTTGTTTTTTATTGTGTTCTCTGTAATTTTATCCTCGCACTGATAAAAAGCAATTGAATCGATTTAATTGGGTGTTTGTGTGGTCCTAAAGGTCTCTGTGAAGGAGTGACATGGAGATGAGATACATGTAGTTTTTTTTAAAATAAAATAAATTGATATGGTCTTCAAGTTTTTTTAATTTATTTATTTCCTTCTTATTTGAATCTATTTATCTTTTCGAGTTTTCTAGAATTTCATGGTTTATGGATTTTGTGGATGGTTTTGGTGAATGTTATCTTCCATGGATTTTCATGTGATGTGACTTTGTGTATGAATTCGGGGACTGGGGGTTCCTAAACTGGGATTGAAATCTCGAAAATGTTTTAAAAGTTTTTTCTTGATCAGATAGGAGCACTAATGAATTCAAAAAAAGAAGAAGAGGAGGAGGAATTAGGGTTTTCTTGCATTTGCAACGATGACTTGGCAAATTGTATATAAATGAAGCGGTGGCCAGACCAGAGAAGGCTGGGGAAAAGGACTCCATGCCACGTGTCCAGTAAATGTGTGTTACTTATTTTGTCAATTTTGATGTTCTTCCAGTAACGTGGTACATCATAGCTTCATGTGAAGTATAGGATAATCTTAGTAATTTTTTTGTTTTGGGAGATGGAGATGTGAACTTAGACCGTTAATATGCTTTGCAACGTAAATCTTAGATTAATTTTGTCATGGAGACAATGATATTATCGATGAAACGTGTAATGTTGTTGTCGATGTGTACTTGCTAAATCCTTGGATATGTTTTCTGTTACACGGCATGCATGCATATATAGATTTAAGATTACATGAATTTATTTATAATGATTTCTACGAATTATTTATCTCAATTAGCTTGATTGTTAAGTGTACTCAGCTTCACATGAACTCCATTAAAAATTACTTATGAAAGTCATCAATTCATCGAACGTGAAATTTTAAAAGCAAACTAGTAATTGTAGCCCATGTTGCACCGCAAGAAGGATTCAAAGAAATTCACAACAAAAGAAAAGGAAGGCATTGATGTTGCTGGTGTGTTTTTCAATATCACATTTCTTTTGTTAATAAAAAAAAAATGCATGTATTTAATAAAATAAATTAAAAATTAAAACGAGTCGATGAATCATAAAAATAAAGCTGTGCACACTAAATAAGCATTAAAATAAAATTTTGATATTTAAAAAAAAAAATAAAAAAAAAATACATGTATAAATATTTTATTAATTGTCATTTATACGCGCGCTTATCGTTGAGGGTAATCTTGGTTGCTAAGTATATGTGATTTATATTTCTACAAGTCAATCATGCAAACCCGATTGATACATTTAAAAATATTAAAAAAAACTAAAAATAAATTACAATGATCCATTAGAGACATTAAGAAATCATATAAACAATTTAAAAGATTAATTATTGTTTTTTTAAGTTAAACTAAACAATTAAAAAATGCGAGAGGAGACATTAATAGAAAAATAATTTGAAAAGACAGTAGGAAAAAAATAAGTTAGGCTTTACTAGTCCCATTTTTTTTTTTAAAAAAAAAACAAATAAAACGAACAATAACGTACCATTCATCTAGACATGTAACGCGTGATTCGTTGAGATATTTTTCTGGTAATCTTCAATAACTGAAAATTCAAGGTACGAGGTTTTAGATCTTAAATCTCAAATTGGTTTGTTTTTACTTAAAAATACCCCATAAACAACCTTAATAAAACTCATTCATAACCCACGAACACCATTTATCGAGTTAAAAGTCTAGCAAAAAAACTACATGAGTCTTGAATTACTTTTTCTAACATTTTTAGAGGGAAAACCACTCCATGTTAAGATCAATATTTTTTTTCATGATTAAAATATGACAGTTTGGCTGAACTTTTTCTATCTTCTTTATTTTTTTACGACTCTCTCTCTGATCTCTCATCATTTAAGAACTGGAATGTGTAAAAAATATTAAAATAGATCTAAGCATATAATTATGAAAACAAAAATGACTAAAATAACTCATGATTGGAATTTCAGGGAATAAATTTAAGTTTTTCATGCATTACAAACAACAAAAATGAAAAACAATTTTGTTGTTTTTGTGTAAATTTTAGTTATTGTTATTTTATTTTTCTAACAACAATCTAAAATTCTATTTTATACTATCAATTTTTAATTTAACATTGGAATATTTCTTGTCATTTTGTATAAACGAGATCATGCAAATCAAAAACATGTTAAAACACTTTTTGAAAATGAAATTGTGAATGAATAATTTTCTTAAAAAAATTACAGAGATGAAAATAAAAAAAAGTGATTATAAACAATGATGTGAACAGTGGTTATGTGTTACCTGCGCGCTATAATAAAAATGCTATAATGTTTTAAGAATCTCTCTACTTTTATCTGTGACGTAATTAGTAATGGTAGTAAAAACAAGGCAACATTTATCCAATCAGGGCCATTCCTGCTTGATCA